TTTTCTTTTTTTCAAAAACAGAAATTGGTCGTGTGGGCCTCTTCACTTTGTGATGTATGTCATTTCAATGAGAATTCTTTGAGCTTTATTTTGAATTTGTGACAAGACCATGTGGGTAATTGCACCACTATAAGAACCGCTGAGCCGTGAATCCTTGTATTTCCACTTCTTGAATTCAATTTAATAATCACTCTACAACTCATGCTCTAACATTGTGACTTTTATTATTGGGTCATCCTCAATTCCAAAATGTTGTGATCTTGAAACTCAAATAATTCACTTGGTTAGAACATGAGAGGAAATCTTTTATACCCTTCTTGGACCAACTTGTATTATTTTGAAACAACTCAAAAAATAAATTTGGGAGGGCACTGTTCGTAGCTTGTAAATGAATTCTCATAACTTAAAACAAATTAATCTAGTAACCATGAGACATCTTAATCACAACCTTCCATTACAACTTGACATAACTCATCTTACGCCTTAATTCCACCATGAATTGAATTAAACACATGCTCGAATTACAAATTAGCTGTACGTTGAAGATTAACGATCCCAACTCCGAATCACTAATAACCATCATAACAATAGTTCTTCCAACCATGACTTGTACATATGCTTGATCCACTTGAATATGACTAAAAATCTTCTTGAGATAAGCCTCAAAGTCAATTGATCACATCTTGACCACTCTGCCATGCTAATGGGATATCTTTTTTTCTTATTTCCACTAGGATTCCACATATTTGCAAAGGCCTGTAATCTCAATGGGTACAAACAAATCCCTCATCCTTAAAACCTCATACAATTGTGGCCAAAAGCCAAATGACCACCTATAGCAAGATCATGAATGTACACTAGAACGTGGTATCAGAAATTTGAAATGGTAGGACAAATTTAGGGTATGACAGGCACATACTGGAAGATTCAACGTTATGTGCCGGTACATCTACTGTCCTAAATAAAGCTGTAGTTTTTGTTTCATTTGGGTCAGCATATAGGTCCTTTCAGGTCGACACATACTGGAAGTTTCAACATTATGTGTCGGCACATACGTGCTTGAGACCGACACATCTACTGTCCTAAATAAGATTGTAGCCTCTGTTTTATTTGGGTCAACATATAGGTCTATTCAGGTCGATACATGTTGTTATTTTTTATATTATATGCCGACACATCCATCGTTCAGGCCGACACATGCTATTTAAGTGGGTCAGTTCTGTTGATTTTTTTTACTCTGAAAATTACCTTTTTGCCACCAATCTTCCAAAACTATAAATACATCATTCATACTTCATTCCAAACTGATGATACCATAAAATTAGCTTGCATTTTCTCATCATCTTCGATCTCCGTTCTATGTCTACACACTAACAAATCACACATAATAATCTTTTGTTGGGGTGCCAGCTAGGCGAAGGCATGATAAGGTCCAATTGGGTTCTTGTGTAGCTGAGATATTAAGTTGAGATTTGTAGGGGTCTTTATTCGGAAAAATCGCAGGTTTGTCCTCCAAGATCGTGTGAAGATTTGGTGGTTTTCATGCAAGACGTTTAAGAGAGGAATGCAAGGTTGTGAAAGCCTTTAGAGATAAAGTACGCAAAGCACCCTTTGGAGATAAAGAACGTAAAGGAAGTAACGGAGAACGAATAATCAAATTGAAGTCTTGTGGAACAACCTGTGCAATTGATCATGCGCAGAAGCTTGTAGATAAAGAGCGCAAAGGAGTAGCAATATCAACAAGTCAATTGGCATCCATTGTTGTCTTGGTCTTACTCAAGATCAAAAGAAGAAAAAGTGTTTAATCAACATCAGAACCGGTAGTGTTTGTATGGTTGCTCTTGAACACTTTTCTTGTACATTGAATTTTAGCATAGTAAGAAAGTATTATAATTCCATATTAGAAATTAGGCTCAGACGTACCCACATGCGAGGACGAAAGTGGGGAACTGCGTGAACAAATCCTCGTGTCAATCTCTCTATTATCTCTTTACTCACTTTATTTTTCATTACGCAATTTATCAAATAACATTGATTAATCGATCGACTTGTAAGAATTTTCCTGTGATCTTTCTGTTTTAACTTGATTGTTGATTAGCTTAAAATCAATTTTGATTATAAGTGGTTTTCATATCATCAACAACACAAAGGAAATTCTGAAAATTCGTTCGCACACAAGTGTTTGATAAATTGCTTAGTTCAATATTTTTTGCTTATTATCATTGGAAATAACATTACTAAGTACTTAGTTTAAACGAGTAATAATGTGATACTCGATTAAATGTTAAATTCGATTATTGTGTTTGTCAATAATTGGCTTTGCATATCCGAGTTCCAATAACCAGGTTCGTGTAGACGACTTTTGTCGATCTATACCAAAACCTTCCGCGTGCACTCTTTTTCAAATAATTTTAAAACCAAAATTTTATTTGGTGATTTTGGCTTGGATGACTATTCACCCCCTCTATACAAGTCGTCGTCTAACAATACCATGTCATGGCACCTTTCCTCAGAGTTATGGGGAAGAGTTTGCACTTGATGGCCCCCTGATGTTGCGGTAGTCGAGCATCGCATCAACGTTCCTGATATGATTGTCTGGGTCCATCTTGCCATCATATGTCGCCAGACTTTGTGGCTTTTCCATCCCGACAGGGATGAGGGCCTTCGTAATTGCTTGGGACAATGGACCGCGGGGGTCATCTTCATCGCTTCAGACTAGCGAACACGACAAGGAGAGGTCGTGCTGAGGGTTTCGACCGTGGCGCGACGAGTTCTTTTGTCGACCCTTCGACTTGTCTGTTTGCCCGCTGGCTTTGCTTCTTTTGGGAATGGGGGAGTTCCACTTCCTATGGGGAGGAGTGCGATCACGCTTCTGAATAATCGCATGGGTGACCTCTTTAGCTACGGGCGACGTCCGGGCTGTTGCAAGGAGAGGCTTCGAGATTCATCCCGTTGGTATCTCCGCGGGGGAGAGTGTTGACAGGTTTCTCGTCGTCACGGAGACGGGCTGCGAGAAACTGGGCGCCGATGTCTACGCGGGAGAGAGCACGACTGACGTTCTTTCTCCAGCATTCCAATCTGTTCATTATGCTGGAAAATCATCAGGTTTATCTGATTTATCGCCGCGAACAAAGCAACTGTGGTAGGATCGGCGTTGTGCGACATAGGAATTGGTTAGAAAATCCTCGGACTATCGAAACGTTGGGTGGCGTTGTAGGACACATTGTCGGAGGAGGGAGATTCGGCGAGTCCATATCTAGGGTCACCCTCTTCAGCAGCGGGCATCATGTTGTTGTCGTGGTCGTCGCCGACAGTGAAGGTGGTGAAGGCAGCTTCGTGGACGTTATCGTCAGTGTGTTTATTGACCATCATCGAAGGTTTGGAAGGTTTGCTTTGGTCTTTATGTTTCAAGGAAAGAAAAGACGGAGGAGCAAAGGGTTCCCACAGACGGCTCCACGGATCTTACCGGGATCAGAAAGTTCAATCAGCGGCCAACAACACGTCGTGAGCTTCAAATTCGCCGGTAGTGAAAAAGAGGAGGGGGTGTACCTGCAAGACACTCCAATGTCAACGTGAGGTTCAGAATGAAGAGAGAGAAAGCAAGTACATAGAGAGTTTAGAATACCTGACCCACTTGTGGAAGAGGGTATTTATAATGTGCCCCCAGCGCTGGGCCAACGATCATCTGCTTTGGGCTGGATCCCGAGGCCCACAACGGATGACTGTCAGGGTCTTACGTGGAAGTAGGGAAGACCCGCACGTGGTCTTCGTCCTGAGTCAACTGCCCCACAAACTCCGAAGAGTGGATGACCTGTTCTCTCGGACGTGGGTTTAGCTGGTGACGTGTCTCCGCGTGTGGAGCATGTGGAGAATGTGTGAAGAACATGTGAAGGGCGTGGCCTCCAACGACTATGGGAGATTGGGTCTGTGTTGGGTCCTTCTAGACGTGGAGCTGGACTAGACTGGACCCGACGGTCATCCCCTGGCTCAGTCCAAAACAGAAACATTTTTCTGCAATCTATTATCAAAAGATACATTTAATGTGTTTGTGCAATTCACGTTAAGGAATTCAAAGTATACTGTTAATCTCAATTGCATCTAATATACAATAATTGATGAAAGCGAATTGAACCTAAAAGTTAGTGTGAAATTCACACGCTTTAAATTTTCAAGTACTATCTTCTTTTATTTTGCTGCAACATCCACCAACACTCACAAATTTCCAACAGGAAGTATCATTTAGAGTTGGTAATGGAAAGAAAACATTTCTGTTTTGGAGGGATAAATGGATTGGTAGTACATCATGGGAAGTTTTTTCAGGAGTTTTCTTAGTATCTCTACTTCACAAAGGAAGTATGGCAGATACGGGCTGTTGGAAAGGCTATGGTTGGAGCTGGAGAGTTGAAAATGCAGAAACCGAGCTAATTCTTAAGCTGCAAAACCAGTATGCAGAATTCAGGAATAGGTATAGAACCCGAGCTAATTCCTAAGCTGCAAAACCAGTATGCAGAATTCAGGAATTGTTACCTATGAAGCACGGACATTCCGAACTACGTATATGCAGTTAAATTATTGATATGAAGTAGAGAATATGCAGTCGAAAAGTCCAATTTTGAAGAAAGCAAATCAGAATGAGGTAGAGGGTGGTTTGAAGAGAGCAATTATAAATCTGCAGAATATGAATATGCAGTCGAAAAGTCCAATTTTTCGGTTGGAGATTGTTACTAAATCGCTTGGCCACACGAGAAGAATTACATAGAAAGAAAAACAGATCAAACAATTGTTCTTCAAGTTTTATTCAAGATAATTGTATAGATATTTTGCACATGTATTCATGCTCATTACAAACACTGCATATATATATATGCCATCTTATTATCATTTCCTTGCAGAGTTCAACAAAATTTAAGGAAAAGCAACTATTCTATCGACATTTAAATCAAACAGCATCTTAATTTCTTAAATTTTCCAAAGAGTTGCAACACGAGACTTCTCATAAATCAAACGTCCGAGTTCTGAGCTTCGCTATCATTATGGCCGCTTGTAAAAGGAGCCAATTCTTCTTTACAAGAACCTTCTTCCTCCGTTTCATAGGCAAGTTCGCAACTACTAGCCCATAAAACTGCATGTAGCAAAACTACCGGCACACTACAAGTCATCGTAACTGCAAAATGAATACCTGCACGTGTCAAAATCAGCTGAATTGCAGTTGCAATAAATAGCAAACTCAATATAATCCTTTTGTCTATGATTCTATGCAGCAAAACTGAATTAGGACATGCTCTTAATAGTAAACAATAAAGGGTTGTCACATAAGTCATGATAACCAACAGAATCAAGGACACTTTTCTGTTAGGTATAAGGGTTATGAAGAGTATGATCCAAATAAAGAGTGTGTAGTATAACCCCAAATTCCCTAAGTTTCTTATGATACGAGACGCCGCAGCTTCTGCTGTCAAGGGAATGTTAATTGGACAGTAGAATTTGAAATCAGCAAATGGTTTTTCATGCGGTCCTTTCGGTTCAGACGCGTTCGTTGTTAGAGATGAAGGTTTTGAGGATGTTGGTATTCTCTGTGTAGTTCCAAGGTTTGCCATGAAAGAAAGCTTTAAAGTGGAAACTGGAAAATCAAGGAATGGTTCAGTTGAAAAACTGCTTCTGATGAGCAACAAATGTTTTACAAAAGCTGTTTTGATATATATAAGTTGAGTCTCTTTGATTATTGATATGCTTATATAGAATCAAGTTGAATGAGGAGACATCAAATTCTCCGGTGACAGTAGCTTGAAGACTTAAAAAATTAAATACTAGTGAAAGACTGAGTCAAATATTATCATAGAATTATTTTCAAGTCAAATTTTCTTTGGCCCTTATAGTTGCTATATTACTATCTATCTACTAAACAAATAAAGATACTTTTTTTTTTTATAATTAAAATAGAAGCACTTAAATTAAGTTTTTCCAACTTCAACTTTTTCTGAAGTGTTTAATTATATCTAATTTACAACAGAAAAAAAAAATCAACTTTTTGATACTTGTAAACCAGTCTTCTTTCTAGAAAGTTTGGTAAAAGATTATTCAATTTTAAGAACCTATTTTTCAAGTAATTATCTTTAAGATATTGAGAGAAATACTCATTCAAAAATTACTACAAGTCTTGATGCTATGATTATCTTAAGGAAAAGTCCACTATAATAATTTGGCACCTTCTTAGTTTTTTCAAACATTGTTTTCAGTCAATTTCTTGGCACAAAGTCACTATAATGCCAAACAAAGTCACTATAATGCCAAACCATTAATCCAAACTGTTGTATATAGATCTTTTTTTCAAGTCAATACATTAAAGAATTCCCATCCACTTTAACTTATTCAAAAACAACATTAATGTACATGTTATAGATGATGATGTACAACACTTTCCCTCTTCATTTGGGGAAGGAGTAGAGAGGAATGAACTATGCATGTTACAAGCTTTGATTTGATGAGTATAGGAGGGAAAAACCACGAGATCAATCAATTAATGGTACAAAATAACTCTATTATTACAATGGAGATTCTTTCCATGGTAATCTATCAAGGCCGTCAACAATGGCTCTTCGAAACTCGTCATTATGGAGAAGGAAGGACGAGACGTGGCCGCCTGTGACCCATCTTACTTCAGAACCTGGCCAGGCTTTCTGCAGTTCTAGGACCGAGTGTTTCGGAATGTATCCGTCATCCTACAGAACAACGATGACGATGATTAGGAGGAGCAGTACAATGGCAAATTGATAGAACCAATAAATTTAACATTACAAGATAATCAGAAAGATCGACACAACAATGAAAATGGAAAAAACTATTTGAAACACATTCACAAGGTGATGATGAGATACGGAACTTACAGTGGCAGAGACAAGGATTACAGCATCGGGGTTTTTAGGAACTGGAAAGCGTGTGACATCTGTGAGTGACAGCACATTTCTCATTCGTTCTCTCACCTCCTCGAGAGTCAATGCAACTTTCTCGGTTGCAAGGTCATCTCTCAGTGCTTCCCATGCTGTGCCGTGCTTTAAAATCCCCTCACAGAATGCTACAACCGCCGAATGTGGTGAGAGAAAAGGGAGTGTTGCAACAGGTGTAGGGTGAAGTGATCCAACCATTGCAGCATGTACTCCTCCTAGAGTTCGTAAAAAAATTGACAAAATTATATAAAAGGAAAAGCCAAGATTCTAAAAGTTTAACTTGTTTCATTTGCAACTCGTGAGACGGTGCAAACAGTGGTATTAGTTATTACATCTAAAGGAAAGTTGATTCAAGCAATGAATTAGCATAACTAAAAGTTAAATAGGACTGAATATAAAAAACGGTGTTAGCTTTTGTATGCGTTCCGAACGAGTCTTACCCATACTAAGACCGCAGACACCCATTTTGCCAAAACCTGCCTCAGAGTCCAACCAGTGTAAGAGACAGCGCGCCTCTTCAATTGTTGCTCTTCCTAATAAAAGCAAGTCACTAACACACAAAAGTTTTGCACCGCGCTGTAGCATAGGACGTCTTTGTCCATAGAATGGACTGCAATTGCAAAAATCAGAACAGGATTACATAACAAATATTAAATATGACTAGTTCAAACCTCCCAAAAAAAAGGACGGTTTTATTAATTTCGAAATAAGATCATTACAAAAACGACCCTGACCTCTCAAGCACCATGGTTGCGATATTTTCCTTCACCAATGGAGCGCCAAGACGCAGTCTTCTTTCAAATGTATGGTCACCAGTTCCTGCACAGGAAAAAAAACAAATACAACATTTAAACAAATCAGGAAGGTGTAAGAGACATAATCAAAGCTTGAAAGAAGAATAATCTTCTAGCTTTTATGCAGCATAGTTATTCTCAGTTCAAATCCTGCCTTTCTTGCAAAGAATCAATTCAATGACATAAGACAAAAAGGTTAAACCATAAAATTAATTGAAGATAGTTAGTTCATGGTTTTCACAAGTGCGGTCGTCGCTATTCTCTCCGCTCAATTACTTAACTCTTTCACATGTGAAACTCTAGAGAAATAAAAAAAAACTATACTTTTTATCCGCATAAGCAACTAAGTTAAATACCTTAAACAGACTATTATTGTTTTGCATGTAAGCTAACAATCCATCGAGAATAACATTCAATGTCCTAAACTTGGGTTTTGCAACTTGAAAGGAGTATGAAAGTAAGGAACAAAAGATAGCATTATAGAAATAAATGGCTCAAAGTGAAGTCAATAAGTTTGTCAAGAGAGCAGCCAACACAAAGACCTGAGCCCAGTTTGGATAAACAACTCAATTAAGCGCCTATAGCATAAACACTAATCATATAAGCACTTACGTACAAGCTATATTTGTGACAAAAGATAAAATAAAACTGTTTCCATATAAGCTATAAGTTGCTTTTCATAAGATGTCCTTGAGAGCTTATAAAGAGGACTACTATGTCTAGTCTAAACAATCAACTTTAACAAAGTAACAGATCCAACATAAATTTCCAATTCGAACCTAAAAATTAAAAATTGATCAGAATAGAATCAAAGTTACCTGCAAGATGAACAACACAAGACATTCTATGAGTCGGAACAGACTTAGGCATGAGAAAAGCAACCCTTGCAATGTGACTCTCAGGTGGCAATGCACCAAGAAGCTGCTCCTGACAAGGTGTTCTAAAAACCCCTTCTCTCAAACAAGCCGTTCTAGTCTCCCAAACAGTTTTCCAAACGGGTTGAATCTGAACGGGAGGCCAATTCTGTGCAACCAAATCAGGGAACAACTGGTTGATCATCTTCTCTAACATATCTAGTTTTGTACCACCCCATCCTCTTGAGAAAAACGGAGTGCTGATCTTAGTTCTATGCATGAATGCTCCATAAACATGATCTAATACATAATGCAGCATCCCCAGATTCACCGTCACCATTATTAACAAAGTTTAAAACTTTGGAATGACCCAATAAAAATGAGCGGAAAATAGGTAAAACCCAGTTGAGAAAAAGCAAAGTGTTATGAATGGTGTTGTGGGTATAAGAAAAAAAGACAGAAAATCATAGAAGAGGTGGAGAGCGGAAAGAAGGGCGGAAGAGGAGGGTGATTGAGACGTAAAGGATTGGATTGGATAGGATTGTGCCGAGATTTGACGAAGATAGAGAAAAGAAAGAGAAGCGGTTTCGAATGATTATATATATGCTGTGGGCGGAGAAAGATATGACACGGTGGATGAGGAACAACTCTCACCCACCAACAACCTAGCTTCAACTTTATGCTGTCAACGATTTCGAATGATTCTTGTAATATAATACATAAAAACATTAAATTTGTATTCATAATATAAAACAATTTATGATTTGTGATAATTTATTAAAAAAAGACTATTAATTTAGTGACTACTATATAAATTATGCGACAACTAAATCAATTAAATTATTCGATTATAATTTGAAAGGAAGAGAATATTTAATATTTTTATTAATCCATAATGTTTTTAAATGGTAATAAAAAATATATAGAATTTATATTAGAAATTATATATGTATTATCTTATCTTAATATAATATTTGATGATATAAGAAGAAATTATAAGTTAATTCAATAAATTTATTATATTTTGTTTTTTTTACTCAAGTTCTCATTATTTATTTATAAGTTAACGAGTATAAATTGTTGATATAAAGTGTTGTCAGTATTTATTTATATTTATGTATTACTGTAAATAAGTAGTTGATATTTATAAAATAATAATAATTTTATATATTTTCATTGTTTTTTTTTCTCATTTTTATTTTTATTATCAGTTATTTTTGTTATTAATTTAAATTAATACATTATTATTATTATTATTATTATTATTATTATTATTATTATTATTATTATTATTATTATTATTATTATTATTATTATTATTATTATTATTATTATTATTATTATGTCATTAAAAAAAGGTAAAAATATATGAATGTATTACTACACGTGTTTTGTAAGGTTTCAGGAGTCCAACTAAAAAATCAAATGAAATGTCATTTAGTTTAAAACACCCTAAAAATCATATAAAATAAAATCTAATTCCATTTACTTCAAAACATTCCAAAAATGATAGAAAATCAAATCCAATCTCCATTTAATGTTTATACAATTGCATCAGGCCACATAAACCCATAAACTAATCCTTTCCAATCTTTTAAATTTAAAACCAAAATTAAATCATATCTCAAAAATCAAATCACAATCATATCAAATTCAAACTCTTTGATAATCTTCCCAAAACAAAAATATAAAATCTTCATCACACTGTTTTTCTTTTATTTTTGGATTTTTTATTAAAAAGATAAAAAAAAGTCAGATGTTGATTTTTTTTCTAAATATTATTTTCGTTTTTTATTTTAAAGCATTTTAAAAATTTATTAATTCAATTCATTATTATTTTATGCACAAAATAGTTTAAAAATTCAAAAACATGTTAAAAATTTCAAATTCAATTTTTTTCTATCTTATCAAATCAATTACATATGCAAGATCCATAAATCATTCCACATTTACATAAACTTGTCTCAAAATTTCAATCAGCATCATTTTTTCTTAATCTATTTTCTTAATCTATACAAATGAGTACTAATTTGAATCAAATTCTTCGGTCTAATCTTCACATATAAATATTTCATTCTTACCCACGATTCTTACACCACACATTCTAACATACTCTCTTCCCAAAATTCTCCTTAAAAAAATCCCATCACAATTCTTACACTTATTACATCATTTTTCTAAATTTCACTTCCAAAAACCTTATTTTTAAGCCTTATATTTTGTATATACAAATACAATTACACTTTTTACACAATTTCTTATACATCTTCACTCTAAACAATCTTTTTAACTCCACAATTACACTTTTTACACACATTAGAAAACTCTTGTTCACCATCTTTCAAATTTCCATTCCAACAATCATTACCAACCATTTAACTCCATTCTCTAATCTCTTTTTCTTTTTATTCATTTTTATTTCACTTTCTTATTTATTTATTTATCTTTTATTGTAGATTGTTTTTTTATTGTTTATTAAAAATATCAAAATGCAAAAATATCTATTATTTGAATTTTTTGTATTATTAGATTTTCATTCATTAGTTTAGGATAGATTTTACAAATTTGTTTCTTGCATTTTTTATTAGTAATTAATTAATATAACAAAATTCAAATAAAAACAAATCAAATCAAATGTTTTTTTCAATTAATTTTGTCATTGAGGTAAAGTCTTTTTTTCGTTTTCATATAAGTCAATTTAAATCTTTTGATCATTAATAAAAAAAAATAACATAAAAGACTTTAAAAAAAAAGAGACATCATTGTTATTTATTTGCCTTTTGAAAATCATGATTGTGTTTTTTAGTTGCAGAGAAACAAAGAAGAAGAAAGGAAGAGATAGATGGGAGGAGACAACTTATATTGGTCGCAGTTGGTACTTTCATATTCATATCTTTGAACATATGTCTGAATGTCGTGTTTTATGTAGTTTAATGTTGATCGTTGTTTGAGTTGTGAACCGTTTGTATGTTTGGTCTTTTTTAGGATCTCGGATTTGTTCTTTGCATAATTTTACTATTTATTATTGTATTTATGTATTTTATTTAGTTTGAGGTCACCTCTTTTATTTTAAAAAATGTCATGTTTCATATTTTTCATTGCATAAAAAATAATTCCACAAAGAAAGAGAAAAATTTATATTTTATCCTTTTAACAAAGCAAAATAGCAACAATAATAGCAAATACATTCCATCTCCTTTTACGGATTTGTCCCAACAATAATAGCAAATACATTCCCTCCATTAACCATACACCACTAATCCTTTTTCATACCCTTTAGTTTTAATTATTTTAATTAGATTAATTAATTTAATTTTAATAGACCATTTAATTTTGTTTATTTAATTAAAAAAATACCAAAAATATCTTATTTCATTTAATTAAAAAATATCTAAAATAAATTTTATCTTTTAAACCACTTGTGCATAAATCAATCATGTTTTTAATCCGAATTGATTAACCTGTGTATAATCATCAAATCTTTTTTTCATAAAAATCAAACTAATTTAACTTTTTGCAAATAAAAGTGGACGAGGGGATGCACATTCACCTTCTCCACGAGTGTTTGATTAATTAGCGCTTGCCGCATCGATCGATTACTCAAAACTCAAAACAACATCTAAAATCAACCTCAACTCATCCAAATATCTTTCGTAACAAAATTTTCACAAAAGAGTATTCTGGTCTATTTAACACGAATACAAACAATGCATAATACATGCATACATTTAACCGCTAAAATGCGACCTAACATTATTCTCTAAAATCAACCAACTCACAAGTGTTTTGTATGAACTTCAGAGCTCTGATTTTCTAATTGTACTATGAGAATACGTAGGTACTATGTTTTGAAACCCTGGCTAGCTCAATAACTAAACATATTTTTTCTCTTTTTTGCAAGTATTTTTCTTAATAAATAAAATAAAATAAACATTCCTTAAATAAACCTTTTAACCCTTAGAATGATAGGAGGTTACCGTTGAGTACAACAGATGTGAGAGGTGGTAATACCTTCCTCTCACATAACCGACTCCCAAACCTATATTTGGTTGCGATGACCATTTTATCCCTTTCTTTTACCTTAGGATTTTATCTTTATTTTCACTTTCCTTAGGAATAAATAAAGAACGACAATGACTTTGTTAGTCCATGCGCAAACATGTGTTACACTTCACGGGGTCGTATTTTTTGAGATGTGACACACACCAAACGTCTAGTTATTCTATGACCCGTTATGTTGTTTCGGCGGTTGGTGTGAGAGAAAGCAATATCCTTTATCCATTCCTTTAGCTTCTGTATTATTCTTCATAATTTCTTGGTATATTTTCTGCTCGTTTGTTCATGGTTCGCACGAGATCTATATTATTTGTTTCAAAAACAACCTTGTCCCTTTCATTTTTGACGCTCGCTCCATGGCCAACTTTGTAGCCATGGCTTCAGCTGAAAAAGGATTTGTATCACCTTTTACCTTGCACGAGTTAAATTCTAGGGTGTGGCCTTCATCATTTATGAAGATTTCCTCTAAACCCCAGAAACCTTTCATAATCAAGCTAGCATCGATGTTAATTTTGATCCAACCTTTATTTGGGGGCTTCCAATTGCCACTCTCAAGGTAAGTATTATAATTGTTAACATTATTCACCTTATCCTTACCTTTCTAATTATGACTGTGAGGGTTATTTATGGTGATTTTATCTTTTGGATGTAGGTCTTAAGTTTGAGTTTGCATGTCGTTTCTAGACTCATTTTTATCATGATTCTTTCGTTCATGATGCTGATATTTTTTGTTCATACTTTGATATTCCTTCCATGATGGCTTTATCCTTATTCTCGCTCTAATCCATCTTTTGTGTGTATTTTTTTATTCTTTTCGTTGTGGATCCCCTCATCAGTAGCTTTCTTACCATGTATATTTTTGTTATTGTCTTCTTGTCCTTTTGTTTTCTTCCTAATTGTAAGTCCTGTGTTTTTTGGATTGGATGTATTTTGGTAAAATAATATGTTGTTAGCAAGATGTCGAACCAGATGTTCTGCCATGTCAGTCAGACATCACAAAATTGGAGATGTCAATTGGGTGCCCACTAATCATACTTCCACAATAGCTACAGGGTTGGCGAAGTTTATCTACATAGTTGGCTCCAAAATATACTATGAATTTGGTACTTATATTTTTAAACAAACCTTGAGACATGCTACATCATCTGCGGTAAAGCTGCCCATAACATTTCCAACCTTAATCTGTGGCATTATTCTGAATCAATACCCATAAATTTTGGCTGATTCAGAAGGTTTTGCTAAGAGAGATTTTCCGCTTATTTTTCACCACAAACTCTTTGAAGG